GGGCCCTGCTCGGAGGCCTCGGAGGAAGGGCCTCGGCCTTCTGCGAGGCTCTCGCGCGGAGGGCCTGCGCAGAAGGCCCCGGGGGCGTCTGGGCAGCCCCGCGGCCTGCCGAGAGGGCCGGCCCCTCTCGCGCCTGCGCCGCCGAGCTGCGCCCCCGGCGCGGAGCGCCCGCGAGGGATTTGGCCCACGGCCTCGCGGGGGCTCCGAGGGCGGTGGCCGTTCCCAAGGCGGAGCGGGTGCGCGCGGTGCCCGAGGGCGGGGGCCCGCCTGGCGGCTGCCAGGCAGGGCCCCGCCCGCGGGGAGCGGAGGAGCTGCCGTCCGCTCCTCGGCGGCAGGGCGGCGGAAGTAGGGAGCCACGTGCAAACCCTACCCCTACCCCCCAGGATTTCGGAGGGGGAGGGTGGGGTTCCCTTCGCTCGGGAGCTCCCGAACGGAGTGACCCTAAGCCTCGGAAATCGTGGGGGGTAGGGGTAGGGTTCGCACGTGGCCCCCTAGGAAGGCCGGCAGAAGCCGGCGGAGGGCAGGCGAGGGCGGCTCCGCCGGCGCTCCAAGCCGGCGGAAGGTCGGCGGAAGCCGGCGGAAGCAGCAGAGACGCCCCCGAGAGGTGCCGACCTCGTTGGCTTCCGGGTGTCCGGGACCTGCCACATGCCCACGGCGGGGGCTCGCCGCGCCCGGGGCGCGTCGTCTGTTTGGGGCCCCTGCCGCCGGGATGCGTGCCGCCGCTCGCCGCTTCTGCGGGGGTCGGTGGGGGATTCTTCGCGGCCGCCTCCGAGGCCAGGGCGCACATCGTCACGACGGGGACTTGCCGTGCCTGGGGCGTGTGGGCTGATGGGGGCCCCTGCCGCCAGGACCCGTGCCGCTGTCCGCTCCTCCTGGGCTCGGCGGGCTTCTTCGCGGCCGCCATCGGGCTGGTCGCCTACGCACAGGCGGGCAGCCGAAGTCGCCGCGTCGAAAAGGAAGCAGGAGGGGAGGGCTTTGGGTCGGGCCTGTCGCAAAGGAGGCCCCGACCCCATGGCGTGAGGAAGCGAACGCCTGACACAGGAGGCCCCGATTGGCTCACTCCCAAAAATGATCAGGAGGGGACAAAAAACACGGACACTATTGATCGTCGGTCCCAAAGAATATGGGAAAATATGGGAATTAGGCGGGAAGACGAAAACGCAGAACATATGGGAAAGTATGAGGAATCTTTTTATTTGTGTGTATTTATTTGTGTGTCCTTGGGCCCCTTGAAAAGAGGCGGGGGAGGAGAACGAGCAGCCTCCAGGACTGGGATCCCTTACCACCTCGTGATTCTCGTTATCGTCCTGATCTGCCTCCTCCTCTACTTCCGCATTGATCTCATTGTCCTTCTCCTCCTTATGCTCGTCTCTCTTCTTCCTTCCGTCCTGTTTTGCCTCGCCTGAATGTAGACAGGTATAGCGTAGACCCTCACGCTTGAGGTTGAGCTGCGCAGGAGAGTTCTGACATGGGTCGCCCAGGAGAGGGCATCAGACATGCATCGAAAGTGTTGGCATCTCGTTGTCGGCGGACGACGGCAGAGACAAGGCGAGGTTGGCTCGCGGGCGGAAGCTGGCGCAAGTAAGCCACGCCGCCCGCAGGAGATTGTATTGTTTTTTGCTTGCAGTGGAGTTTCGTCCATAAGAAGCCGTCCACAAGAAACCCAACCCTGAGACCCCAGGACACCCATTGTTTTTTTCGTGTGGGAACGTCACGCTGTCCAGTAGCAAAACCATCGACACCCCAGAAACCCAGGGCACCCTGGAGGTAAGCAGGGTGTTTCTTGGCATGGGCCCCCACCGTAAAGGTGTCTGGAACCAGCCACATGGACCGGACGGATACGATCGCTTCTGCCCCGGCTTTGGGTTAGGTTGGGCAAGGGCATAGGGGGCTGACGGCGAAGCGGGGGGAACCGCGTGCGCTCGGCGCTTCCCCGAAGAGAGCGCGCGCCGACCGCGGCCCCCCCCCCGCGGATCGTGCGCTTTGCGAGCGCGGCGAGAGCGCGTGTTATTCTCCTTCCGCTTCTCGGCGTTCCCGCCTCCCCCCTTCTAGGACGTAACACCTGGGAGGTCGACTTCTGATCATTGCTGGTAAACCACTGGTCGATACTGGCACCACCTGGCTTGATCCCCCTGAATCCCTTCCCATTCGCCTTCTCTGGCTGGCCTGCTCCCGCCCGATCCGGCTGGATCCCGGGCACCATCGGGCATTCTCCGCCGCACTGGCCCCCGAATCGGGTCTCGTGGCCCCGTTCTGACGAAGACCCCCTTGGACTTGCCTGCACTAATGGAGGATGACGATTCATAAATGACCGGGGGTCGTGTTCACGCGGCGGCGCCCGGGATGACGATTAGAAAAAACCGGCCGCGGGCTGGAAAACCTTTTTTATTAAAATCGTTCTCCTCCGGTCAGAAAATTCGGCAGAAACTTTTTTATAAATCGTCATCCCGCATTACCCCCTCCCCCCCGGCCAGCAGGTGCAGCTCGCGCCCAGCGGCGGCCCGCCGATCACGCGGGGCGCGGCGCGCAACCTGGAGGTGCCGGCCACGCTGGAGAGCGACGCGGCGGCCCTGCACGGGCCCGCGGGTGGCGGCCAGGCGGCGTCGGCCGAGGCGGCGGCGGCTAGCACCACCGCGTCGGCCAGCGCCACCGCCGCGACGTCGACGGCCACCGCGGCCACGACCCTCACGGCCACCACCACCGCCGAGGCGTCGTGCGCGGCCGCGGGCGAGGACTGCATGGCGTCCGCGTGCTGCGCGGCGGCGGGGGCGCAGTGCTACCAGAAGAACCAGACGGCCGCATTCTGCAAGCGAGAGTGCCTGCCCGGCCCCGACATGACGGACCAGGAGTACGCCGTCTGGACCTGCGAGGACCGAGGGGGCCTCTCGAGGCAGGTGTGTTTTTTAGGGCACCCGCGCCGCGGAGGGCCGCGGCACGACACGACAGACGAGCGGCGGACGACGGACGAACGTCTCGGCGGCGCGGGGGGGAGGAGGAGGAGGAGGAGGAGGAGGAGGAGGAGGAGGAGGAGGAGGAGGAGGAGGAGAGGAGGAGGAGGAGGAGGAGGAGGAGGAGGAGCCACGTGGGTTGGAGCCCAACCTTTTTTGGGGGGGCCACGGGGCCCCGCGGCCCAGCGCGGCGTCGAGCCGCCGCTGCGGCACGCCGGCGCTTCCGCGCGCAGGATAGCGCCGCCAGCCCCCCAACGGCGGCAGCGCGGCCGCCCGCGCGCGCACCAGCGCGCCCACCGAGGCGAGAGGGTGCACGCGCGCCGCCGCCTCCGCAGCCGCCATACCCGCCGGCGACTCGGCCTCCATCGGGCCCTGCCCACCCCGACCTTCCAGAGTGCTAGAAATTAGCGCTCCAGACCTATAGATCTATCTGGACTGCCTCAAACCTCGACAGGAATGAGGACGTCGATGCCCTGGTGCTATTTTTTAGTCCTCCTGGAAGGTCAGAGCAGGAGGGAGGACACCGGGCGAGTGGGGTCCGGGAGGCTCGCCCGGTGCAGCCGCAGGCTGCGCAACCTCGATCGGCGGGGCCCGTGAGGCACCCGGCCCTGCAGTCATGGGGGCAGCTCCACCCCGACGGGGCCCGGCGGCTCGGGAGGCGATCGCCACCCGGGAGCCTCGCTACCTCGACCGGGCCAGGAGACCCGAGAGGAGGCCCGGGAGGGCCATCAAGGGGCACTCGTTCCCCTCCAGTGGCGAGGTGGCGCGGCACCATGGCGAGTATGATCTCCCATACACAACCACACACGCACACGCACGCGCACGCGCACGCGCGCACACACTCACGCACACCCACACCTACACACACACACTCACACACACACACTCACGCACACGCACACGCACGCGCACACACACACACACATACACACACACAGACACACACACACATACACACACATACACACACGCGCACACACGCGCACACACGCACACACACACACACGCACACACACACGCACACGCACACGCACACGCACGCACACACACACACACACGCGCAAACAAACACACATACACATACACACACACACTCTCTCTCTTTCAGAAGCGCACGCAAACATGCACACTCCCCTTTCGGACGTCCGCGCGGCTCTCGTGGGTCCGCGCGGACCTCCGCAAGTTGACACAGCGTTTTCTTGCTGCTCCTCTGCAGGAGCTCGGGCCCCGCACCCCAGGCATGCGAAAACGCACCGACTGGACGTCGATGCCCATCCCCAAATGGGTGCAGCAGCACTGCTCGCCGAGCGGCGCCGATTGCCTCGACACGATGTGCTGCAGGGAGGATCGGAGAAGTAAAAGGCACGGTACCCGACCCGTACCCTTCCATCGTTTTGCATTTGTGGGTCTTCCAGAGGCACTCGTCACCACGGCTGGATTAGCTTCGAAATTCTAGTCAGAACGCATCCGAGGAGAGACCCAGGGAGCGCAGCGGTATCGGGAAGCCTCTTGGCTTCCCCAGAGGAGGGCACGCAGTGCTACAAGAAGAACGACACGGTCGCCAGGTGCAAGCCGTCCTGCGCGCAGGGCCCAGACTTTGAGGACGTCGACCCGGGGAGTTGGGGCTGCGAAAAGGTGGGCCCGCGCACGCCGGGCCAGATCAACCTGGTCTGGGGGGGGGGGAGTTGGAGGACGAGGAGGGTAAGGAGGCGGAGAAGGAGGCGGGTAGGAGGAAGAGGAGGAAGAAAATGAGGAGGAGAGGAGGAGGAGGAGGAGGAGGAGGAGGAGGAGGAGGAGGAGTTAGAAGAAGCAGAAGAGGAAGAGGCGCCGCAGGAGGAATATGGGGTCAAGGCGATGAAGAGTTGCCGGGCGCAGGAGGAGAGGGAGGAGGGGGAGAGGGGAGGACGGGGAGGTCAACGTGACGGACTTGCCGATGCCCAAGTGGGCTCACTCCGCTTGCGCCGGCGCCGGGGAGAACTGCAGCGCTAAGCAGTGTTGCAGCGAGCCGGGCCACCGATGCTTCAGAAAGGACAAGGAGTGGGCCGCCTGCAGGCCCGAGAGATTTGAATCTGAGGGGGGAAAGGGAAGGAGGAGGAGGAGGAGGAGGAAGAGGCGCGGCGGCGGAGCTCTGCAGGTGCACGAGTCTGGCTGCTCTAACACGGGGCATTTGCAGGACAGCTCAAGCGCCTAGAGTGCGCTAACGAATAGCGGTGCATTCGCACGGAGGGGGGGGGGCCAGCGTGCCACGGCTAACCCAGCTCGGAGAAAACCCTGGGGCCAGGCCACGCGGAGGCCTCGACAAAACTACAAAACTACCAACACACGAGAGAGAGCCCAGGACCACCCTGGAAGGAACAGAAGATTTGAAACGCGAGCCCGAAAACTCAAAGCCAAAAAGTTGGGCCCAGGAGAGGGGACCGTAAATTCGGACCGAGGCAACCCCAACAGTGTTGTCACCGTCGGGCTCCTCCCTCCTCCCTCCTAGCAGGGCCATTAATGAGACGGAAGATCGCATCATCGAGAGCGGGGGACGAGGTGAGGCGAGGACGACGCTCGGACGACGAGGAGACAAGAGGAGGACGAGTGGAGGAGCAGCGGGGCGAGGTGGCGCCGCTCGAATGGCAGCGCCGCGTGCAGGACGGGGCTCAGGATGCATCAGATCACGAGGCCGCCGTCGCTCAGCACCAAGAGTGTCCGTATTTCCATGTATCAAAGGCCGAGGTTCTCCATGCCATCCAGCGCCAACTGCATCAGCCTCTCCTGGTGGGACCGCGGAGGCGTCCCTCTCTTGATGGTCGCCCCGAGCTGGACGAGGCCCGAGAGTACTTCCACTTGGATCCCCGACCCGCTGGCCTCCAAGAAGATCTTCATCGTCGCCCGATCGTGCGTGAAGCCTATCTTGCAGAACCTGCAATGGGAGTCCAGCGTCTCGTTGGTCATGCTCTGATCGGCCTTCACCGTGTCCATGTAGTTCTTGATCCTCGCCGCAGTCTGCGCACCCACTCGATCTCCTTGCTGCTGCAAAGCCCCGACTAATGTGAGCCATAAGTGAGGATGTGGTACACCGAGTTTGTCTAGTTCCACGACTCTCACGCCATTCTGGATCTCCTGGCGATGCTGGAGGCGGAGGCGCTGAGCCTCCTGCACAAAGTACCTGCCCGTCAACCGCATCGCCTGGCACACCTCGTGGTCCGCCTGCAGGTGCGCTATGTTGAAGACCACCGACTCCAGAGCTGCCAGCCCCTGCCGCGTGTGCAACGCCGACCTGACTAGCACTGGCATGATCGCCTGCACGAGTTCGATCGGCATCGGCTCGTCCTCGAGGCGGAGGACGTCTCCGCGGTTGAGGCCGTAGTTGTTGTCGGCCGCGTCGAAGAGCTGCGCCAGCATCTGGTTCAAGTTGCCGCCCTGTCGTTGCTGCTGTGGATGGCGCTGCTGAGGCGGTGGCTGCGCGCCTCCCGCCGCCGCGTGCGCCACCGCAGCAGGGGCGGGCAGGCCTGCTCCCACCGGCTGTCCCGCGCCCGCGGCCGCGGGCTGGGGCTCCGCCGCGGGCCCGCGCCTCGGTTGGCCTCCTGCTGGAGGGCGCTCTCTGCTGGGCCTCGGGCCTCCCCTCCGTGCTGCGCCCGCGCCTCGCTCCCCGCTGCGTGAGCGCAAGGCGTCGGCCCTGTCTGCCCCTCCGACGCTGAGGGCGCGAGAGGCCAGATCCATCAGGCTGAGTATCGTAGAAGATCAAGTCAGGTGCAGGTGGCGCGTGTACTTCCCGTATGTGTAGCTGCAACTCGGCGAGGCTCTCGAAAGCCCCGATCTTCCTTGAGGTAGGCGGCATGTTACGAACGAAGCATTCGGGGGTCGTGTCGATATCCAGGCAGAAGGGGCAGTGGAGGTCAGACGGGACGATAGGCTCGGGTGCATAGGGGCTCCAATCTGTGATGCACCTGCGCCTTCGGAGTGACATGGCAACATGACGCTTGGCCGTGACCTCGCTCTTGAACGTGGACATGCAATAGGGGCACTGGCTAGTGACAACCAATAGATGAGCGGGAACTCGCAACTTATGAGAAGGATGGTGCACCTGATGCGCCCGCAGAGCCCCCTTGCTGTAGAACACCTGCCCGCAGACAACCTCTGGATCGTCTCCTGGAAGCTCACAAACATGCGCCTCTGGAGGGCCTTGCTCGGGGTCTTCTGGGTGATTATTACTTCGGGGGCCTCGAACTTCGGGTACCTCTCTGAGCTTCTCTGGATTGAACCTGCAGAAGAGCCTACCCACCATGTCCCTCGTGAAGATGTCACGCACCGAATACTCAGCCAGGAACTCGGGGCCCCCCTCGAGGTACTGCAAGGCCTGGAGGTCCTTCTGAAGCAACTGGGCCCACGGATTCGCAGACGGGCTCACCGTCCCATCCTCCAGGAAAGTGTCGGCCTCCTCCAAGCCTTCCAAGGTCCCGAAGAGCGCTACCAAGGGCTGCCTGCTGTCCTGGGGGTACTCAACGAACCGTTGCCACTGGCGAAGCCTTCGAACCAACAACTCAGCACGGGCATTGGTGATGCGCATTTTTGTCAGCAGCGTGCTCTCGGACAGGGAGCGGTACTTCAGTCGAGCTCCGTCTGGAGCACCTTCTATGAACTCAGGCTTGCGATCGCGCAATACTACTCTCGCAAATCCCAGGACGACGGCATCCAGTCGGCGAAGGTCCTGCTTACCGAGAAGGTAGGTCTCCAACCCCGAATACGCAGCCGACAAGATGATGCCTTTAAACGCCATCCTCTTCAATCGAATAGAATGAGTAGCCTCCCAGAACCTGCCCATCCTCCTCCAAGCTGGCCTCGTCGCCTCCACCCTCCGCCTAACTTCTGCTGCACTCCCACCCGTAAGCTGCTCCATCCCTCCCAGGTACAGACTCTCTGCAGCCACCACCCCAGGCACAGCAATATCTTTGGCAAGTAGAACTCGAGTAGCCGTGTATGCCCCTGGGCCCGTCATAACTGGCATGCACAACTCCTTGTCGGGGTTCTGAGAAAAAAACCGCCTCCCTCCTCCAGCTTTCTGTCCAGGACCTGGTTAGACGCCAGAAGTTTTTGCCTTGCTTCTACAGGGTTCGGGGCACACAAGGGTACAGTCTGATGTATATCGTCAGCATAGTCTCTGACCGAGACGTCGTGCATCGCATCCGTCAGCGCACACGTCATAATGTTGGCGGCCCTGGAGAGCAAAGCAGGTTGGGACTGTCGTGCCACTTGGGACAAATCAGGCTGCTCTAGTAGCTCGTCCCGCCAGGCCTCCACAGGGCGAAGAAAGCTACGCGCGAAAAGCTCGCAGGCGTTCCCGTCCCCCATCCCAGATCCATGCGCCGGCTGATAGTACCCCACTTCCTCCCCCGCCCTGATCTCCATCACCGCCTCCTCGTGCCGTTGATGAAAGAAGGCACGATCTTGTGGGTGCGGAATGACCTCTAAGACCGTGCGCGCAAGCTCCTTTTGCGAGGTCGAGGGGGACGCATTCGACATGTCCTTTTTGACGAGTATGTGTGATACCCCCAGTTTCTTCAACCTCCAACTGTGGATTTTTGCAACCAGTTGTGCATTTTGACGTGCTCGATGTGCTGCGTATCCATGTGCGTGCGGGGGTAGGGGAGGATGATCGCTGCGAAGGTAGAGGCCCCGATGCCAAGCTTTCCCCATCGGACAGTAACAATGGATAAGTCGCATGGCCTTCGTGCCCCGCTTGAGGTTCCCCTTGGAGAGCTGAAAGGTCCTACTCCAATGCCAGCACGACGGAGTCCTAGACTTCGCCCTAAGTTGTCTGAGTAGCCTCCGAAGTCGCTCCGCGAAGTTCGGGCAGTGTACGTGCATGCGGGATTCCACCGTTTCCAATTGAGCATCCGTTAAATGATGGGTGAATGGCCACTCCCCCGTGGTCTGCTTCGTGACGTGCTGTGCAAGCCAGTACCACAGTTCAGCTGGCAACGAGTGGCTCGGGGCATATCTTCTCCTCGCTGCACGGCGTAGCTGACCTAGCGTGCGGAACCAGTCGTCCCAGGCAAGCGAAGCAGCGGCACCGCCTAAGACCCCGGGGCCGTCCTCCTGCAGGCGCTGGAGTTCGGTCCAGGATGGGTCAGATGGCGACTGCAGCACCTTGGCCGAGAAGCCCCCGTCTTTGGCAGAGGCCTTCATTGTCTCCTCCCACTCCTGCAGGCTCGGGCGATACGAGTCTGGAATGTTGAACGCCCGCTGTCGTGGCCCCCTGCACCTCGCGCCAATCTGGTAGACCACCCTCCACAGATTGCTGGTGTCGTTCGAGCGTCGGTGTAGATCTGCTTATTCCAGTAATCTGTCTATGTGAATCGTGTCCAACTGTCGTCGCTCTCGCTTGATAAGCCGATCCAACTCACGAAGTCGCAATCGAACTGCCTCAGCAACATGCGTGGCACTTGCCATGGGAGCGTCCAGCAAAACGGGTTGGCCGCCGCCTCCACGCGGTGTCCCTCGGAGCGATTCCTCCAACCCCGAGGGCCTCTGGGAGGGGGTCGACCACCCAGCGACGACTGAACCTGGCGCGCCAGGCGCGCCAGGATTTTCGCCAGCAGGGAGTCCAGGTTGAGGGTCGTCAGGCCGATCGCGACGTCCTCCAGCAGCAGCCTCTGAAGCTGGGATACCCTCAGCGCCCCGTCTATCACGAATAAGTTGCTTCCCAATCAGAGATGGCTCTGGTAGCAGTCCAAGAGCAGGAACTCCAAAGCCCAACTGAGAAGACTGCCGCTCCAGATCTTCGGTGTTGCTCTTCCAGAAGGCGTCGGCAGGTCGCAGTGGATCCAGTTCAGCAGCAGCAGGTCCTGGGTCACTCCGAGAAGCAGGTAGGTCAAGAAATTGCACTGGCAGCTTCGAAGTATCGGGGACCGCTTTGGACGGCGGCTTCTGTCGTGTATCTGCCAGTAGAGTCCCAAGCTGGTCCAGGAGCTGCTGGTCCTGGGGGTTCAACCTCAGCTGCCGTCGAAGTTCCAGGAGTTCGCGTCGCCGTTCACGGTACGCTCGGGAGTAGCCCCCCTGCTGGC